TAAATTCTATTGGGTCAGCCTGTTTGCACATCTTTTTATAGTACTTAATTTGGCTAAATCTTTGTATTGTACATTTTCCAGTTCCTCATTAAATTTCTGAGATATTAATAAATTTACCTTCTGTTTTATGTTACCGTGGTGAGGACTCCAGCTTGCCTAGGAGTTCTGAATTTGGGTTTGTGGGCTGACAGGGCAGATGCGAGCAGAGATGTGGGTTGATTGTGTGCAAAGGACTTGCCAGTGGTGAGCTCATGTGTGCTGAGTGTTAGGAAACATCTGTTTGGGTATCATGCACGCTCAGTGGAGAGGGAGCTGGCCTTCAGAGATGGTTACAAATATGCCATGGCTCCCACAGATTAAACCAAATAGTTTCCTATAAACGGAGGTCATTTAAGGAAATTGGATTTTACAGGAAGAATACTAAAATAATCAGATGGAAACAAGTTAAATATTCATGCCAGGTTTCCTCTGACAAATATCTTTATTCTCTGGCCCGTTTCTTCCATTGATTGTCTCCTTTGGCAGGCTGTAGGTATTTCTTAAGTTACAAATGTATTAGGTGTCTAGAGTTTGTTGAGAAATTAGTTGCTCAGAATGAGTTGTTCAGGGGAGCAAGTTTCCTAATTTAAGTCACTCTTGTAAAGGGGGGATGGTTCCCAGACAAGACCACAAAAACTCATTTGAATATTGAAGGCAACTGATATAATCTGCTGAAGTTGGTGCTCTAGTGAGGAATTAGACACTTGACCAATGCAGAGATGGAGGGCTGGATTGGATGGCTTGATAATACCTGCACACTCATATGTGACTTAATTCATCGTGCTTGATTGTCCTTTTGACAAAAAAATTTTTCAGTGCCAGCTATGTCCTGCAGACCTCAGAAGGTGCTGCAGACAGTGATGAGCAGGGCCTGAGGTCTGCGCTCATGAGGTATGTAGTCTAGAGGTGGAGACAGACAATAGTCAAAGGATAGCACAAACAGATGGCCACCAGCAACCATATTTGTGATCTGTGACCCTAACCTTGGCCATAGTTGAGGGAACAGAGGTAGATACCTAATCTAAGTGAGGCTAATAAGGTGTCCCCTGCTGGGAGTTTGGGATGACCACTGAGTGACAGGAAGTTAGTCAGAACTGACTCTTTAAATAGAGGGAAAGTAAGTGGAAACTGGGGAACAGCTGTCTTCTGCCACAGCCAGGGAGAAGAAGAAAGTTTTATTCTACTTCTGAAAGATCTTTCATATGCATTTACTCCTCTCCTATCTTATTGTCAGTCATCTCCTATTACAGGGGCCAGCAAATAAACCAGTCTTCCTGTCCTCAGCTTTTGCCTTTTCCATTAATATTTTGGTTTCCGTGTAAAAGATACATTGCACATATAAATAAAAATGTGTGAATACACATATATACATCTGTTTGCACATATAAATAGAACGTACATGTACATGTGTAATGTACCTATGAAATGCACTCACACAAAGTTATCTTCCTGCTTAAACAGTTAATGCCTCCTACCTTCTCAGGGATAATAGCCAACGTCCCCAGCACAAACTGCTGGCCCCTACTCCTTTCGCATTTCTTTCAGATATTGCATTTCCTTTTCTTTGAACCCTACACTTCAGCATCGGTCCATCATTTGAAATGAACCCAACATACTCTGAATTTTCTCATGACAGCATTCACGTCATAGGCCCAATTCTATGACAGAGACAAGAGAGCACTGACACTTGCCTTGCTCCGCCCTCCTGCCCTAAAGCTGGAGCCAAGGGCCAGGAGAAGGTGAGTTGGGAGTGGTAAGGTTGGGATCCTTCTTGCTCCTCTGTTCCACTCAAACTTGGCCCATCTATAAATCTCATATCCTAATAGCCTGTCTTTTATATGCTGTCCCTGGAAAAGGATCCAAGGTCAACTCTCTTCGGTTACTGGATTCATTCTGCTGACACACGCACTGGCACACTCTCCATAATTATGTCTCTGGACGCCAGAACTAAGGAGGATGAAAGCACAAAGGAAATATTCAGTAAAATGAGGAAACCAGAAAAATGAAGGGAAGGGAGAACTAAAAATGCGATATCTTTAGTGGGGCATGTACTGACTGACATAAGACTTGTCAATAGTTACCATTGAGATAGGATTTATTTAACAACAAATCCTTTTTATCTGATTATAAAAATCTATATTTGTTGAAAAATTGGAATACATACAAAGAAAGGAGGAAGAATTTTGAGCAACAGCATTTAGAATTCATATTTCTGTGCATTTCTGTGGCACAATGGCATTTTTTTTTTTTTTTTGGTACCAGGGATTGAACTTGGGTTCTTGCCCTTGCGAAGCAGCTGGCAGAACCACTGAGCTAAATCCCTGACCCTAATGGCATCTTATTTAACTCTTTGTAATCCACAATTAGAATGAACATTTTGTGTTTATCCTTTTCAGACTCCCCCATATTGATACATATATTTACAATAATGGGATCATCCTGTATAAAAATTTAAAAATAATGTGCTATGACCTTTTTTTTTCTCATTTTCAGTTGTTGCATAATCTCCTATTACTTGGAAATACCAAATGCATTTATTAAACTCTTTACTGTTGAGCATACTGAGTTTGTCTCTATTATAAACAATGCCGTGATGAAACTACTTATATAAATATTTTCTTATATCCATCAATAATTCTAGGACAAATTGTTTAAGGCAAGAATTTAAGAGATACTTTTTCTAAATTCTACAAGTTTTTATTGTGGTGTTCCAATTTTCATTATTTTAAAAAAATTCTAGCATATTGCAACTTTGATTTGTCTTAAACTTAACAGTAATTTATGGGTATGTTATAAACCTTCTAAATGCTTTTTAAAAAGAAGAGATTCTTTCTTCATTGCTAACTTTCAGCCTTATTTTTTTGTGTGATGATAGGAAAACATGGCTAGAAATATCATTCTTTTTTTTTAGATTTTCTTTGTGGCTTACATTCTAGTCAACTTTAAAAATTTTAAAAATAATGTGGATTCTTTATTTGAAGGGTGCTATTAATAGAGTCTTCATTAATCATTTTTGAGTTGATTAAAGCCTCTGTATCTTTTTTCATCTGCTTGATTGAATGAAGTCCAAGGGTGGTATGGGTTTATCCCTCAATATTTTATATAATTATTTTTGCTTAAATTTTACTTTGCTATTTTAATCATTGAGCCACCTAAGGGAGGGGCCTCTCTCAGGGAATTGGGCAGAGGGAATTCCTTCTGATCCAAAGATTTCTCACTTCCCGCTTAGGGTGGTACCCTGTCTACAAAGATGGCTTTCCTTAATTCCTTCCCTCTGGTATGCTGTGCCGTTCTCTCCATGGTAAGAAGCAGTCTATGCCTCTACTCTCTTAAATCTGTGTTGGCCTGAGATAATTTGGAATAATGGAAAATGACAGATATGATTGTTAGTTTTGAGCTTAACACCAAGAGACCTGGCAGTTTCTGCTTCCTGGTTTTGGTGTCCTGAGCCTCCAGGGAAGGAGTCCAAGTTTCTCTATTGCAGAGAGAGGCCGTGTGGAAGATCCTTGAAGGGCACCCATGTGAATGAAGAAGCCCTCTTGGATGTCTAATCATCCACCTTCTCATGACTTCAGCTCTAGCCACCATCTGACTGCAGCCTTGAAAGACCTCAAATGAGAGCTATCCAACACAACCTAGGCTGGGATAAAATGCAGCAAATTGTGGCTGAAGTCATCACATGTTTGAGTGGTTTATTATGGAACAATACTGAAACCAGTGGCAACTCATCTCTTTGCCTCTTTTCATGGTTTGTGGAAACTGTGTATATAGGAGGTGATGTAGGTTTCCTTCCTTCCTTCCTTCCTTCCTTCCCTCTCCTTTTTTTGTCTGAGCTTTTTTTTTTTTTTGTAAATAATAGAGCTTTATACAAATACAAAGTTATGCACTTTCCAAGTTACTATTCCAACAGACACTATTCAACTTAACAAAGCATTTAAAATATTTTAACAATACATTCACAACATAATCTGCCCGTTAAGACTCCAACAATGTTTATAGTACTTACAACAGAATTTACAAATGCCTACTGTTTATAGATCAGTTTAGTTACATATATTGCTTTAAGAAATACCATTATTACAAATGTATGATTTACAATATCCTCATTAGAGCAGAAAAAAATAGATTCATAAAACAAAACTTCTTTTAGGCATTTATTTTGCCAAGTATTCAAAAGATTATTCTCATTACCATAAGAATAATATTCTTTTAGTGGTAAAAGTTAGATTTATTAGTCCAAACACCACTGAAGGGCTTCCAAGGATTTCCAAAGTAAAACTCTACTATCCTTTCCCTAAAATAAATAAAACAGCAGCAATCCCTAGGTATACTTTAAACAAACCATGAACATGCTGTTTATAGATTACTGGCCTCAAGATAAACCAGTCAACATTAATGACTTGAATTTGGTTTTTACCTACTTGTATTTCTTAGATAAGAAATTTCACCATAAAGGACATACTGAAAATGAAAAATTAGTTATAACTTTTCTAACTCATATATAGGCCAAAGTGCTCACATTTACAAAAGAATTAAAACTTACTTCTGGGCTGGGGAAGTAGCTCAGTGGCATAACCTGCCTGGCAAGCATGAGGTCCTGAGTTCGATCCCCAGTACCACCCCCCCCAAAAAAGGCCTACTTCTGAAAATAAGAGACAGAAATAATATGTAAACACACAGAACTATGAAGCACACTAAGAACATCATCCTATGTGCTATCAATCAAGTTGTAAAGATGTTATATATGTAAATGAACACATTAATTTGGGATATACTGCTATTACATTGCTATGTATACACATGTATACCATAAAACAAACTCTGACAGCGTTTCTGATGATAATATACTCTCTAGCCCCAGCCACTAGAAAGGAAATGAAATTAATATGAAACCTGTTTCCTTTTTGTAATAAAGTTTTTAAGCAGAAAAACATACTCTTCTTTGCAAAATGGATGGAGCGCTAAATAATTCAGTCAATAATCTCTTCAATTGTCCCCCAAGGTAGCAGATCACATAAGCTTTCTCTCTACTCAGGAAGTCTGGTCATCTCCAGTGTTTTGTCCCAAGATACGAGGTAGCTGGTTAAATTCTTCCTACTGCCCACCTTACACCTGATGTAACCATATAGGTTGGCACCTTGTAGCACCACACTCATGATAACCTCCGCCAACCACTTAACTCTGAAGGAGAAGAGAGCACTAAAGGGAAATACCACCCACAACACTGCACAGGCAATAATTCCTAACCAAAATATTCTTGATTCACCCTCTGAAACACTTTTATTCTCTTGAGAAGTTGCCTTCCTGGACTCAGACACCCAGTGGCTCTTTCCATCCTCATCAATATGATTCCACCAATGTAGGCCAACCATTAGTCTATCTGTGACATTCTTCGCTGCCCAAAAGTCACACGACAACAAGATAATGGTCACCATACAGGCATTACAGCTGCTGCTGAGCAATTCACACAGAAGATAGACTATAATTGCACCTACTTGAAAGAACAAATGAAAAAGTGATGCCACCGGATGTCTGATTTTGGATCTTTTTGGTGTATTAGCTGTCTCTTCTTCTGCATCAAACAGTGAAACATCTTCAGTGCCATCATTACTGTCCTGCGGCAGCATGGTGGCTCTGAGCCAGCACCACTTCCAGGGCTTGAGTTTGAGCTTTGCTCTTCCCAAAGGTGCTGCTAAGGATTCAGATCTGTGCCTGACAGCTAGGACTGTATACCACTAGAATCTATAGGCCCCCTGGAGAAAGTAAGATCACCTGATAGAAGAAAGATAGACCCTCAAAGATAACTGCTAGAAATGTCCTTTGCTGTTCTCTTGTTACCCCGCAGTATTAACTGTGAGATGCAGGCTGTTATAGTGCTGAGAAGGCTGTGCTGAGGGGACTGGGAAGAGGACAGTTGTGCGAGCTTACTTTTGTAGGCTGGGCTGTGATGTCCTACTACCTACTCCCATGCTGTCAATGGGCAGCTGAAGGTTGAAAAGTCTCTCTTGACTCTGCAGTCAGGGAAAATACATATGCTTAAATTGCAAAGCCTTAAAAGATATTTTAAAATTGACAGAGAGGAAACACTTAAGATAGAGTAGTCTTGTCTGAATGGGGGTGAAGGAGTTCTGTCCTAAGGTTATATGAAAGGCTGTTAAGTGTCTTTGCCTAACCTATGCCTAAAATTAAAATTAATTACTTCTTGCTGGGCGTGGGGGCGCACGCCTGTAATCCCAGCACTCTGGAGGCTGAGGCAGGAGGATCGCTGTGAGTTCAAGACCAGCCTGGGCTACATAGTGAGTGCAGGTCAGGCTCAACTTCATAGTGAGACCCTGTCTCAAAAAACAAAACAAAAAAATTAATTACTTCTCATATAAGTAAATGTATTAATAAATCTAAACTGAGAAGGACTAATTCTGATTGAAGACCAAGAAGCTACTGTAACCAACAAAGACAAAAGCAGATTGAATAACATAATTGTTTGTTTTACAGGTGCAGCCTTCTGTCTGATGCTTAAATCCCTAATTAAATTTCATTATACAACACTATGGACTGTTACATTTTTATTTGTTTAGTTCAGAGAAAGCTGAAAAAATAGAGATAAAATAAGACTGGAGAGAGGAAATGCAGGAATAAGTGGCCAGGTAGCCAAAGCACTCCCACTAAACAGGAAGTGGATCTAAAAATTCAGACTGTTCACAGTAGCAGCACAAGGACTTACACAGATGCCTCGGGTAGAGGTAGAACAGGTTGATAACAGTTCTTCATTGAGGAAGAAGAAAATCATGCTGAATGGTGACTGAGGTGCATCCTGAACACTGCTCTTAGATTTGCTCTTCTAAAAACTAGGCATTACCACTGACCATCTTCTTCTCCTCACTGGTAACATAAAGCCTAGTGTATATTCTCTAGGTCCTGCCAAGCAGCGTAGAAATTACTTCTCCAGACAGCCTGGTTTTAATCGACATTTTGGATGGGTCTCAGCAATACTATTTCTTTAATGCACTTTTCTAAGATTAAAAAAAAACAACATTGTGGAATGGTCAGGCTGAGTGAGTGAAAGTCGGATCCAGCATGAACTCATTTTATTCACTCTTCCTTTTCTCCCTTTCTTTCTCTCCCTATTAACAATCTGGGGCACATTTTTTCCTGTCCTCATCCCATGTCTCTCGTTAAATGACTCTAACTCAGAACCATAAGAGTGTAGCTTTTCTATTTATTGTTTTATTTATGTTGAGGTATCTGCCTTAAAAAACTGGTGCCAGAAGATAAACTGTCTAAGATTGCTTGGCCAAGAGCATTATTTAGCTTGGATGTGAAAATGTAAAATTATGAAATTATTTACTCATCTGGTACAGAGCTCAAACTTCATCACTCTTCATATATAAAAGTCATGGTGAAGGTTTGTTTCCTTCTTTTGCAAAATGTGAAGTATACCATCTTCAGGATGAGTTCTTTCCTATGCATGTAGCTGTCAAAGTGCTTTCCTTAAAGTGGAAATAACACTAATTGAAGAAAAAGAACAATTTTATTTTGCTTTTGTGATTTCTATATTATTGCCAGTGAGTAGCTCTGTTACAGACTGAATGTTTTTGTTCCCTCAGATTCATATGCTCAAACTCCAAACCCAGTAAGATGTGTTTAGATGAGGACACGAGGGGAGAATCTTCATGGTGGGGTTGGTGCCCTTATAAGAAGAGACACCAGAAGGCTTGCTGTCTTTCTTTCTGCGCATGCATTCAGGGAAAGCAGTGTGAGTACACAGCCCAGAAGAGAGGCCTCACCAGAACCCGACCATTCTGGCACGCTGGATTTGGATTTCTAGCCTCTAAGACTATAAGAAAATAAAAGCCCATTGTTTAAGCCACACCATCTATAGCATTTTATTAAGGCAGCATGAGCAGACCGAGACAGGCATCCTAAATGCGTATGTATCCATTTGATTCTCAGCACCTCTCCTATGCATTGCTTGTCCATCCCCTGACACTGGCCAAGCCCCTCACTCACATATACTCATTTGAGAGACTAGTTGCTTGATGTAAGGGTAAAGAGTTTCATACTAATGACATGTACCATTCACCAAGTCCTTATATCGTGCCATGCTTGGTACTGGTATCTCCTTTGTCCTTCTAATAGTCTGTTGCAATATTATTATCCAGACTAAGAAGGTAGGAATAGGTTTTTGGCCTCCCACTTTAAGTTTACATAGGTAATTCCTGCCCCAGTCATCCTCAGAGGACCCTTTACATATTTCCTGGACTTTTTCACTTTTCAGGTAAAGGCTGCTATGATCCTGCCAGAATGGCTCTTTCCCTGAAATCAAGGGAAGGCAGTAATCAAAGCTCTGAGCTATCATGGCTGATATTTGCAATAGGACAATCAGAGAAATGGAAAATTTATAGCACTCAAAATATGGGATTCATTTAGGAGTAAAAAAAGCATGAATTTAAGCTATCCAACCTCAAAATTGTTTTCAGGCCTCCACTGGATCCTAATACTCTTCTTAATTATGAAACTATGTATAGTTGGACCTAAAAAGAGACCGTGACCAGAATGAAAATGCTTCATGCCCATGATGTAGGAAACACTTCACTAATTTAGTGTTTGTGACACTTTTCTCTATATGATCCGGAAAGAAATGGCTTATTATAGTCATTTAATAAGATTATAAAAGGAATCTTTAAACAGAAGAAGTGTATCTTAAATCCTTTGGAGAGAAGGTATAAAAGTAACGCATTTTAGAAATTAGAAATAAAGGATGTTACTATTTCCTAATTAATTTTATTTGTTCATTAAAAGGGGACTCAGAAGAGGAACACACTTTAAGAGACCATGAGTGGCACTTCAATTCTTTCTATTTAAATAATCCTTCCTAGGTTTTTTTTGGGGGGTGGGGAGGGAGTACTGGGAATCAAACTTGGAACATTGTGCTTACAAGGCAGGTGGCAGAACCACTGAGCTGAATCCCCAGCCCATAATCCTTCCCAGTTTTACGAGTCCTTACCTGGATGGTTCAAGAGTGCCTCTGTAGGTGCCTTTCTGTGCTTTGGCCTCCCCTCACTGGTTATGTTGCTGCTCCTGGCTTTTAGTATTATTTCTTGAGCTTTGTTTTGGCTCCCAGACTTTCCCATCTATTGCTCTGAACTTATGAGACCTTTGGGGCTGGCTTGACCTCTGATGGTTCCTTGGCTTTTTGACCCATTCCATGTCCTTCTTCAACTGACTGGCCGTTCACCAGTTTCCGAAGCACAGGTGACAGGACCCAGCTTGGCCTCCCAGGGTCTGCTCCCAGAGATCAGCCCTGCTGTGAATTCAACTGGAGAACCCAAATAACTCTGTGCATTTAGGCAGTCCAGGAAGAAGAAAGGTGACCTCATGCTTAGTAAGAGAGATCTCTGTTTAGCCTCCAAAGACCCCCACATGGTGTGGGGGTGTTAGTGGTTTGGCTCACTCCCCTTTTCAATGCCATAGCCACTGCCTCCCACTTAGTTCACCGAGGAAGAGGAGTCATGGTGCTGAGGGATGCAACTGGGACTGAGGCAAAGGAATGCAGTTGTGAGGCAGTATGGGAAGACAGCACAGCCGGGAACAGCTTATTCTGATGCTCTGGGAGCATTAGCTGCGAAATGGTTACATTAAGAATAGACAGAAGTTCCAAGCGCAATAACGAATATACCTTGTCTTCTATTTGGACATCACCGTTCCCATCTGGTCCTTTCATGTTTTCCAGCCTTTTTAAAAGCCAGAGACATTGTCATTTTATGTGGTCTAAAGGAAGCTTCTAGAATAGCATGAGAAGCTAGGGGTAGGGCTCAGCATTAAAGTGTTGTTCTAGCATGCACAAGGCTCTGGGTCCAATACCCACCGCTATTAAAAAAAAAAAAGAAGGCACAAGGCACTTGTTAAGGGTTCAGCACAAAGACTACCTGAATAGGTTGAACAACCATGTGGCGTAGTTGAAGAGGGAGCTTGGGGTTTCCATTGCTACTTTCTCTAAACTTCTTACCTTTTCTCAACACCCTCCTTCACCCTATCTTTTTCTTTGTCTCCTTACTACCTATGAGATTAATGTCTTGGAGTGAACTCAGTAGAACTGCAAAGCTTCTCGGACACACCCTCTGTCTACGCCCTCCTCACAATGCATACCCAGACTACCTCAAGGTCTGACCCCTTTTAAAATGCCAGAATGTTAGCCAGAAGGGAAAGTTTGTGGACATGGGTACCAGCAACCTGTGCATCTATCAGCACAGATATGTATCCTATGGAGGCCAGTTAAAGAACTTCCAGGACTGTTAAATTAAGGAATGGTAATAGTGTGGAGAAAGGGACACAAGATGTTTTAATGTTCATGGTGATGGGGGAGGCAAAAGGAACAAGGTGTGAAGAGAACATAGAAGGAGCACTGGCTGGGAAGTTGCACGTGAGCTCATTCATCTGGGTTGGGAGAATCACAGAGCAGAGCGAAGGTGCCACCAAACATCTTCTGGTCTGGGGCTCATCTTCCCATATATGTGGAAGGAGCTCGGGAGAGACTTGTTTAATTTCCAGGCAGTGTCTCTTCATATGGTATATAATGTGGACTAGTTGCAAAGCTTCAGACATTCTTAGAAATATTTTCATGAAAGAGAATGGAGTTAGACTCTTCTGTCCTCTGAATTTTCAGAGGAAAACATTTTCAAAGCCATGTGCTTTGCTATGGGGGAGCAGCCGCACAAGTATGAACCAGGAGACACGCATCTGAGGATTGCTCTGAAAGACTGTACCAGTGCACTCGACTGCCCTTCATGTTCTCATGCAGAGTGCCTGAGCTAGTGCTGGTCCATGGTGGACAGGGATGGAATGCAAGCCCATATTTTGCAAATCTGAAGTAGGATATTTACTGGTAAGGTAGGGATAGGAAGGAAAAAGATGATATGGTAAGAGCAGCAAGAGAATACAGTCCTTCATTCTTCACAGGACAATTATGGCCAATTACTGTCTGGATTCCCTTGAGCTCACTCTCAAAGACTGCCGACATACCCTTCAGCCAATCAAAGGCCAACTTCAACCTACTGCTTTCAAGCAGGTTGATGGCCATTTAACATCACTTCTTATTTCGATCTGGAAAATAATAAGTCAGACACAACCTGACAAGTGACAAAGGTAGGATCTCTGGAATGCAAGGAAAATCCCCAAAGTCCACCTTCTGTGGAGACCCTAAC